AAAGGGACAGGATGAACATAGCAGCTGGAATTACAAATAGAGGAATCAGCATTTCAGCTCTTTCTTAAGATACATGATGTCTGGAGTTAACGCAACCTAGAAAGAACAGGTAGTGCTGAGTACAAGACAAGTATCAAGTACAGGCCTTCTGAAGGGAAGGAAATGGAATATTTCTATTACATTGGGYATTTAATCATATTCCCTAAGACAGAAAAAAAAAGGAAATAATTATATAGTAAACRCACATTTAAAAACAGGCATTCTAAAAATAATGCATAGTGTCCTTTTCCCACCAATCTTTTCTTTCTAATATCATAAGGAGCTACAGCTAGCATTATTGCTGCTCCAGAGGTCTGTTGTCCCTACTAAGGCAACATTTACACTTCAGTTGGCAACAKTACATAAAATAAGAGCAGACACATAACTCCTTAAAGCTTATTTGTGGGCAGCTCCTTATAAACTGAGATGATTTATYTGGATCTGTGACCAAAGGAATACACTAGTTCTCCTAATCCACATTCTGATAGGAGGCCATTTGGTACTACCTACTCTGCAGATAAAAATGACTCATTAATGCTCTGCGAAGGGAAAAAAAAGTTGTGATTGCAGCTAAGTCAAAGACACATCAAGGATGTGATGCATCTTAKCATCTTAACTTACACTAATTCAATTTGTAACTGAATATTTAGAACACTACTTTGACAGACTAAACCAAATGTTCCTTTAACCAAAATTTTCATGCAAAGCAATCTTTGAGAAACCTGAAAAACAAGGGTATTCTGTTTCTAAAGACCTCAATATACTGGATGGACCCTCCCATGCTATGCCATCCTACAACTGGCAGGATGTATTCACCTGTTAGAACACAGGCTTTCTGATAAACTGAAACAATCACTTTAGAAACTACTAAAAAACAGTCTGAAGCAGAGAAAGACACCTCACTCAGTAAGCATCAAACAACCTTTATGGAAAGCAGCAAGAGGAGCTCAAAGGCAACTTGTGACTTTTTATTTTCACTCCAGTTACCTCGCTTTTGCAAAAACAAAGTCAGTCCATGGCCAGTTAGATCTGCTTTAAGCAAGGTGTTGGACTAAGTGACCTCCTGAAGGAGGTCCAATGAAAACTTATTATTCTTTTATGCTAAGATTCCTKTATTCATAAAATGGCAACAGTGCATTTCTAAGGTGAAGAAGCTGGAAAGTCATCATCAAGAAGACAAGGGAAAAAGCCAACCACTTTGCTTTTGAAAATTAAAATGGCAAATCCCTATGCCCCTGCAAATTCATCACTCCCTTTYGAAAGGGAGATCTGCCTATGGACTAGACCCTAAGTTTCCAAGCCCTACTTTCATAACTGAACTTAGATGCTGCCTTCCTTATTCCCAAAAGCTCCAGAGCTTCTGATCTTGATGCAAATAGTAAAAAAGTGCAAAATATAGAAGCATTTTGTTTTACTTCTATTATTCACAGATTTACAGTAGAATTATAAGTGTWCAACAAAATGACATTACAGTTGCAAACTGTAAAGTGGCTAGGAAAGTCAAAACCAGCAGATRTCTGTAATGGAATAATTTGAATTGGAAAAGACTTCCAGAAAGATCAAAGAACAGAAAGCCAGAATGCATCTAACTCATAGCTGTTTACAGTAAGAATTTACTTTCTTACAAGTTCRCCAGCATAGAAAGTGCCATTAGTATCTGTTCATCCATCTTAACCCCTTTTCTTGTCATTCCTTCTGAACAGTGAGTTTGCATTAGGTTTGAATTYAGCAGTTAGATTTACTTCCTTTTAAAACACTTTTTAGTGAGGTCAYTAAAATGAAATTGACTTAGGAAGCTTTATGGATTGCTTCTGTTAAACTTGCTAAACATTAGATTATTTTAGAAAACTAACTGATCCAAACAATATCCAGAGAAACAGAGGACTGATATATGGAAAACGTGTGACATTGAAAAGACATATTCCAAAGGCAGCTGAATTACTCAATAACTGAAGATGACCTTGAAATTCACACTAACCCATTTTTCCACTAAGAAGCAAAAATAATTTTATCAGTGGCACTAGCCAAACTTGTGAAGCATACCTTCCAGTTCTACACATCATAGTTCAGTTATAACATCTAGCAAGCAAAAGATATATCACATCAACAAAGGATGCCTCCTATACAAAAAAAAGACTACTTGACAGACTCTTCCATTTCAATAAACAAACATATCAAGCATAAGAAATCAGCTGGACCTGGAATGCTGCATACTCCCAAGCACTCAGTACTACTGATACGCATAATGGAAGTTCATAAATGACCAGCATTATATTATTCCTCCTATTCTTACTTCCCATTWATGGCAACATACTAATCACTGAAACACACTGCAAGGTTTTTTTAAAAACATAAAATAATGTCATTAGTATTTCAGTAAACCCAAATTAATTTAGATTCACATCTATCAGAAGGCACAATGTAGCTTTTGCTTCAATTTTGMTGTTTTGCTAGCTTGTGAAGTATACGTCTCTTGTGAAATACAATTTCCAAATGATTTAATGACAATGAGAAAAGCAGACAGCTACGAAAAATAACATTTTAAAATGTTTAAAATGAACTGATACAACTATCTCAAACCTCATGCATGCTGCAARAGTGAGCCGTTCTTTATTCACAGTCGCATTATACAGCAAAATGGAAGGATGCGAGCTGCAATCATCAGGTATCCTCTGCAAAAGTAATTTCCTTATTTCACCACCTTTCTTCGTTAATGCAAGTTTCTTGCATTGTTCTTTTGTTCAGACACTGAATACCTTAAACAGCGTGCAAACGCAACCCTTGCAATCTTTCCTTGGCGCTTTAAATAACTAAATGACACCAGAAGAATTTCCCGGCTCCCTACCYAAGTGTCCAGGCCGTTCCAGCAGCGCTGCCACAACAGCCCGGGGGCTCTGAGCACGCTCCCGGAGCTGTGCGAGGACGCTGCCGCCGGCTCCCGGCCAAGGCCTCGTGTCCCCTCGCCCAGCGTGCGGCTACTGCGGGGCAGGCGGCAAAAACCAAGGGCAGCGGCCCCGCAGCGGGGAGAACCGCACCGGACCAGGCAGCCGCCGCTCCCGGAGAGCGAAGGGCGGCAGGGGCACCCCCGGGCAGCGGCGGGAGCACCCCCGGGGCAGCGGCGAGAGAAGCCCCGGGGCAGCGGCGGGAGAACCCCCGGGGCAGCGGCGAGAGAACCCCCGGGGCAGCGGCGAGAGCACCCCAGGGGCAGCGGCGAGAGCACCCCAGGGGCAGCGGCGAGAGTAGCCCCGGGGCAGCGGCGCCCCCCGCGCTGTCCGCCCGTAGCGGAGCGCACTCGGACAGCGGCCCAAGGCCGCGCCGCGGCTGCCGCCGGGCCTGGACCGCGCCCGACGAACGGCAGGGGGCGCCCCACAGCCCGCGCCCCCCCCGCCGAGCGGACCCCGGGGGAGGGGAGTGCTCCGCCGGGCTCCTCCGCTCCCCCGCTCCGAGCCGCCCGCGGCACCCCCGCCCCCGGCCGGGGCCTCACCCGCTGTCGTCGCTACAGACACCCTCCGCGGCTCCCTGCGGGATCTGGCGGCGAAGAGGTGAGGGACGGCGGGGCTCGGCGCGGCCGCGGCACGGGCCCCACTCCGGCCGCTCCCGCCGCATGGAGGGGGAAGGGCTGGCCGGAGCAAGGGGAGATGAGGGGGCGTGGAAGAGCAGATCCAGGACGGGACGGGACGGGGAGGGAAGGGGGGAAGTGCGGGCGCG